TTTGTAACTCTCCAAACGCCACGCGTTATCGCATATTCCGTTGTCTAGACTAGACTGTTATACGCATTCACCCCTCCCCACGCCTCGCTCACAATACGACGGTACACTATTCCTATAAAAATTTATTTTTAGTTATCGTACCCGTACACGCGTGCTTGTCATCAATATTATATATATGTAAACAAATTTTTATTTTGACTGACCAATAACGCCCGCGTCTAATGCGCCTTACGTATATATATATATATTCCTACCGCCGTTTATACCTCGGGTATAACGTTAGTCCGACCCGCCCGGCCATAAAACACAGCTATACTTAGTGCATGATACTTTTACGTAGTTAAGTCGCATTATTTGTATAAATATATATATTCTAATTACTATTAAAATTAATATATTAACACGATTTATTCTAATTAAGAGATATAAAGTATTCATTCCGATTACGAGGGATGATTTCCGTATCGTCATTTTTCGTCACTACCTCCACGTTCCGGGAGTGAGTAATTTACGCGCCTGCTGCTTTCCTTGGATGTGGTAGCCGTTTCTCAGACTCCCTCCCCAGAATCGAACCCTGATTTCCCGTTACCCGTAACAACCATGATATTGATAGTAACTACTATCATAACATGAAACTAAAAAGTAAAAAATAAATATAGTTTAAAAAACTAAAAAAACACGCTTTTAAAGTACATCGAACTAAAAAGTTAAAAATAATTTTTAAAATAATTATGAACAAAAAATACTAGTATTATTGTGATAAAAGCGTCGGGCGCTCAATATACGAAAAATATGGCACAAAGCACCCACGCTTTTATCACAATAATACTAGTATTTTTTGTTCATAATTATTTTAAAAATTATTTTTAACTTTTTAGTTCGATGTACTTTAAAAGCGTGTTTTTTTAGTTTTTTAAACTATATTTATTTTTTACTTTTTAGTTTCATGTTATGATAGTAGTTACTATCAATATCATGGTTGTTACGGGTAACGGGAAATCAGGGTTCGATTCTGGGGAGGGAGTCTGAGAAACGGCTACCACATCCAAGGAAAGCAGCAGGCGCGTAAATTACTCACTCCCGGAACGTGGAGGTAGTGACGAAAAATGACGATACGGAAATCATCCCTCGTAATCGGAATGAATACTTTATATCTCTTAATTAGAATAAATCGTGTTAATATATTAATTTTAATAGTAATTAGAATATATATATTTATACAAATAATGCGACTTAACTACGTAAAAGTATCATGCACTAAGTATAGCTGTGTTTTATGGCCGGGCGGGTCGGACTAACGTTATACCCGAGGTATAAACGGCGGTAGGAATATATATATATATACGTAAGGCGCATTAGACGCGGGCGTTATTGGTCAGTCAAAATAAAAATTTGTTTACATATATATAATATTGATGACAAGCACGCGTGTACGGGTACGATAACTAAAAATAAATTTTTATAGGAATAGTGTACCGTCGTATTGTGAGCGAGGCGTGGGGAGGGGTGAATGCGTATAACAGTCTAGTCTAGACAACGGAATATGCGATAACGCGTGGCGTTTGGAGAGTTACAAACTTACAAACAACAAACAACAAACAACAACAAACATACACGTGAAACTAATAAAAGCGTGTTAAAATAGTAATTTTGAATGAAATTTTGAATTTTCCTTATAAATTTACTGTTAATAGTAATTATATTAGTTCCTGCCTTCATATCAATTAAAAAATATAATTTTTATGCCTCATAAAATTTTCTATTTAACGATATAAAACTTACAAGTGGAGCTAAAATAGTGTTTAGAAGTACAACACTTTTAAATTATAAATTTTCATAAAAATAAACCTTAAACTTTAGGCTTAAAGGATTAAAAAAATATGTAAAAAATGAAATTTAGCACGGATTATTTTTAAAAATTAATTATAACTTGATAATAGAAAATCACTATCATAAGAAACACTTCGATTTAAATCTCTAGATAGTGTTTAATTTTAAGAAATTAGTGTATTATTCCAAAAGCAAAATTAATTCCTATTTTTTGTTGAATTTCGGCAACCATTTGCACAAAGGAGATAAAATGCTGGTACAAATTTTTTATTTTTGAAAATTCTAGTACATAACATTAATTTAACATATATTTAAAGAATGCAGTATTTTTGGAACATTTTCAAAAGTTAAGTTGATAAGTTGACTTTTTAAAAAAGTTTCTATTTTGAATCCTTCCTTGTGGGTACATAAAGGGTCAGAATTTCAAAAAAATGATATCAAATATAAGGAAATACCTAGTTTCTATTTAAAAAAAAATTATTTTGATTTGTTTATTTTTGCAAACAATATGGTATTTTTAAGGAAAAAATGTCGATAATTACTGATTTTTTAAATTGTAATTTTTTTGGAGATTTCCCCCATTTATGGTAAGCGAAGGAAATTTTTTCAATTTTTAATTGTAATGTCTTCATCTAAGTAGGATTTGTGATCTTTTAACGTATTGTAGAAAGAAATTGGTCTGGTGAGATCTGAGAAAAAGTGGTAATGGACACAAAAAAAACACATAGTAAATTTAATACCTTCTCAGCTTTGTATCGAAGCTAAAATTATTGCAGTTTAAAATTTGAAATATATAACCTTATTTAAATATAGTTGGAAATAGCTCACAAGGTAATAAAATTGAACCAAATTCAAAACTCAAATTAACTATTATTTAAAACATGTATATCATATAACATTTTATTGACATACATAAGACTTACATCAATATTTATTATTAAAATAAGTTGTATTAAACCAAGTTGCATTATGTGTTAACTAATTTAATTAGTATTTAATAATTTACATATCATATTTATTTTTCTTATTCAAAACAAAAACTGTTATCACATTTTAATTACAATAAAAAAGAATTCATGCAATATTAAAGAAAAATTTTGATACAAATAATAATTTTGACTAATGTCATTTAATAATTATTAATTTATCATTTTTTTAAAGCTTGATATTCTAATTAATAATGCTGGACGCTCTCAAAGGGCTAAATGGGAAGATATAGAACTTAGTGTTGATCGTGAAGCATTTGATCTTAATGTTTTTGCTGCTATTAATTTATCAAGAATTGCTGTAAGATATTTTAATCAAATTGGTAGTGGTCAACTTGTTGCAACTTCTAGTGTTGCTGGAATTGTACCTCCTCCATTTTCTGCTACTTATAATGCTACCAAACATGCATTACATGTAAATAAGTTACATTTGATTCAATAAGACTTAAAAATGTAAATAAAACACGATAGCCGTAATCCTTTATTTACATTTTTCCCTAGGGAAAAATTATCTGAAGACAGTTAATTACCAAGCTAATTTAATTCAAAACTGATTATAGAATTTATATATAATTAACTAATGGATTATTTTTTAGGGATATTTTGGAGCTTTACAACGAGAAAAGGTTCACAGTAATATTTATGTTACACTTTTATGTCCAGGACCTGTTTTTTCAAATTTTCTTAAAGAAAGTTTTACAGCTCATCCCGGAGAAGTATTTGACATACACAAATATTTAAGTTGTTAATTATTGATTACAACTAGTAGATGTATTTATCTAGAGTTAAATTTAATGATTTTTTTTTAATTTTATCTATGTTAAAAATTTTAACTTTTTGGATTTATTTACCAATTTAATATTATTTGGAAAAATATTAATTATTATTTAAGTGCCCTTGGGGTAGTATTTTATATAAAAAAACATTTTTAAGTACTACTAGTTGTAGTCAATGAATTTACACTAATTATATGTAACAAGCAAAAAGGAAATTTTTTTGTGATTTGATTTTTGTATAATAATTATCATAGGAATAATTTCAAAATTTTCTTAAGAGGTGCTTAAAATATTTATATTAAACAGAAAAATATACAATTAATAGTTATTAAAAATAAAATAAATTTATATATAATTTAATAATAAAATGGAATGTATCATCATAAATAAATTACTATATGCGTGTTACACAGTATAAACTATTGTTACTTGAAAAATTTTTTTTTCTTAGGAATATCTATAAACATAATTTAAAATTAACATACACAACCATATTTTAGAAATTTGGGTTGTCTCATTCACCAACTGATAATAGAATGAGTGCTGAACGGTGTGCACGTTTATCTTGTATAGCTATTGCCAACAAATTAAAAGAATCTTGGATAGGGAAATTTCCAATCATACCTTTACTTTACTTGAGTGTTTATTACCCAATACTTTCAAACAAGTAAGTTGAAATAAAAAGTATCTAATGAAGAATAATAAAGATAAATATTAAAAATTCCCAGCACAGGGGGTCGCGGCACAGTGGTGATGTGGCATAGTTGGGTCAAGTATAATGATATCTGACAATAATTTAAATCACTATCATAAAAGCCGTTTTGATGCAAATCTGTAGATAGTGTTTAATTTTAAAAAATTGATGAATTATTCCAAAAGCTACATTATCTCATATTTCCTTATTTATATCCTGAATTTAAAAAGAATTTTTTCGCAAAACTCTATTTTATATTTTGAACTTTATAATGCTATAACTTTTTGAAAAATGTATGAATCAATATAATTTTTTTTTTTATAGATGCATGATGTCTACTTATCATTTGGTATATTTTTTTTATAAATCTGACCCTTTACCTGCCCACAGGGGGGGATTTAAAATGACAACTTTTTCACAAAAAATTTACTTTTTCAACTTAAATTTTGAAACTGTTCCGGAAAGTCTGACACTTTTATATATATCTTAAATTGAAGCTAATGTAATGTTCTTTATTATGCAAAAAAAAATTTCAGAGTTTATTTAATCTTCATGGTGAAAATACTATTTTTGTATGAAAATTCTTGATTTTATATTTTACATTTTTAACTTTATTATGCTATAAATGTTTGAAATATGTATGGATTAATACAATTTTTTCATGCAAAGTAGTATTTTTATACATCTATCATTCGACATACTTTTTTTTTAAATCGGACCATTTCCCTTTATATATTTATTCATATATTACACTTATAGATCATAAAACTTAATCAGAATATAAATAAGGAAACACACCATGGTAAAACTAATACCTTCTCAGTTTTGCATCGAAGCTAAAAGACTGGGTACCTAACTTTTACCTGAAAGCCAGGTACTCAGAAAATCTCTTAAGTTAATCAGTAATTATTTAAGTCCTTAAATAATTACTTTTATTATAACATTTGAAGTAGAGGTCGCCATTACACGTGTAATGAACTACACGGGTACCCGTGTTTTTATCTATGACGGGGTTAAAGTCCGTGTAGTAAAAATATCCGTGTAACCCGGGCATTTAAATACCCATGACCTTAAATAGTCATATATTTAATATAAACGCATATATAGTATCACGCAAGCCCCTACAAACTACCTTCTGAACGAACCACTTCGCCGATTACTAAGGTATGCCAATAGTGATCCTAATTTTATGTTGTAATTATGTATAATAATATTTTGTTTTTTTCTATTTATATTTTGATTGTTTTTTGTTATTGTATATATATACCACGTTATTTCATATGTTATAAATTGATATTTTGTATTTTTGTTTAGTGATTTTATGTAATACGTATTAAATGTAGTTAATGTAAAACCAACATATATGTATTTAAAAAAGGGTTTATCCCGTAAATTAATAATAAATAATAATAATAAATAATAATATATATATATATATACCATGAATGCATGGGTATTAAGTTACGCGGGTATTATACACGGATATTAAATACACGGGCTTTAATATATGTTTTGGCCGTGTACCCGGGCTCCGTGTAATACCCGTTCACAATCGCAACCCCTAATTTGAAGATATGTACACGGTGATCAGTTTAACAGAAACCACTTGATTAATAGAAAAACAAATACAACTTAGGAAAAAAATTGTTGATTTCATTTGGTTGCTTATAATTATTGATTTATCAGCTAATAATTACTTTTTAGAATCATCCCTTATAACTTATAGGCTGTCATCTTTATTTTTTCAAATAACAACATACATAATAAACTAGCTTATAAGATAGAAAATTATCAAATTGAGAAATTGACTGACCAAAAACAAATTTTGGACCAGTATTTTAGAAGTTATTAACAATTTAAAGTAATGACTGGAGGTGAGGCAGGGTGCTATTATTTTTATCACTAGTCACTTCCAGACTATATTCTTTGTCACGCTTAGGTATAAAAATAAGAATAATTTCAAAAGTATTGGTCCAAAAGTTGACTTAACTACATTATTATCTATTTTATGAGCTAATTAAATATGTATGTAGCCGTTAAAAAAAATAAAACTGACAGCTTTGTAAGTTATAAGGAATGATTCTAAAAAGTAATTAGTAGCTGATAAATCAAGAAATATATGCAAAATTAAAAAAAAATTGTTTGAATATTGTATTTATTTTAAGAGTAATTGAGTGGTAATAAATGAATGATAGATGAACTGTTCATCCTTTATACTAAAAGTTAAAATAATATTAATTTAATTTCTTTTTGCAGGTTGTATGAGCTTTATGGTTATAAAATAATACAAAAAATACGAGACAACCAACCTGCAGTTTAATATTATAATATTGGAAAAAACATCAAGAAAACATATTTATTATTTAAATTTTTTATTATAAATTATCGAACAAAAGTATTCTTTATATAAAAAAATTAGACCTGATTTATATTAGTATTCAATACTTTTTTTCTAATTGATTTAGCTTTGAGTATTACATTTTTAAATAAGTTGCAATATAATTGTACTGCACTAGGTGTGTCATCATTTCCTGGCACTGGGTATGTAACTATGTTTGGATTTGCATCTGTATCTACAATTGCAATAGTAGGAATTAACATTTTTGCAGCATCAGTAAGAACATTGTGCTGTCCACTATTTTCTTTAGAAGTACTGCTTAAAGTATTTAATACTATACAAAGATCTGGCAAACGTGTTTCTGCTTTAAATATTCTTGATGAATTAGTAAACATACCACTTCGCCAATACCTTGTGTGCGCAAACTCGCCACATTCCTTAGCACAATTTTCTACTGTCAAACAATTTAATGGTGACTGACACAAAAATAAGATAACTCCTCCTCTGAAATATATATATAATATAATAAATTTCATGATCTAAAAAAATATTAAAAACTTTCTGTATTTATTTGTAATTAAACTTTAAGTTAATTTAGAATTTTTTTTTTTTAATAACAAGATTAGTTTGACAGAAGTCCCATTGTAATTAAATTTGGTTTATTCTATATACATGTGAAAGATAAATAGTGTATTTTCATTGCCTACTGCTAATTTTGGGATGATTTTTCTTGCTAAAAAATTTAAGTCGTCATTCATATAAATGAGTCATTTAAATAGAAAATAACTGATTGATATGTTCAACTAAGAAATAATTTAAAAAAATAAAATATACCGGTAAGTAATGTGAGCAGCCACATTTAAAGCTTTTTGTAATAAATATTTAGTCTGATTTAAATCTATAATAAGGTGTCCAAGTCTATTTCCATATACATATTGTTTCATTCGGTTATCTAATGTTCCTATAGTATGACCATATTGCACACCAGCTTCAAAAAGATGTTTGATTTTTACCATATTGTTTATACCAAAAGCATCAGGATCTGATAGTTTTATTTTCAATTCTAAATCGAAATTACAAGTAAATAATTATATTTAAACATTTACAACTAAGCAGGATATACATTTACAGAATAATAAGTATAGGCATACCTACTATGATGTATTAGTCTCTTGGACCATATACACACTATGATTACATATGGCTTCTATAATATTTATGCATATTAATAAAAATATTTAAATGGTACCCCTTATAAGATTGCCATAACTATTGTATAAATATTCTAAATTATGTGATTTTAATATTTTGTTTTGCTACATTTTTCTATCAAAATAGTTGGGTTTGAAAGAATGACTCAACATACCATGATTAGAAGACTGAAATTCTTTAATTTGTGGTTTTGATTCAGTTAAAAAAGCTGTTGAGTACACTCTACTATTAATTGTTAATAATAGCTTCTTTTGAAAGAACTGTTCTGAAAAATGACAGAATAAATATAAAAGCATTATATTAAAATATTATTAAATAATATAACTTAATAAAAAGCTTGATTATCATAATAGATAATGAGTGGATGTACCAAAGGACAAGTCTAAATGTATACCACAATATGAAAAATTATTACAGTTTAGGCTAATCATAAAGTAAAACAAAAATAGTTTGTTAATTAGAAATTATTGTATAAGTATTGAACATTTGAATTCTTTACTAATTTAATAGTCAATGAGGAAAAAATTAAAACCGTTTTAAAGGGGAGACAATAGGTCATTGCACTTTTATATGTTAAACTAAAACCTGACGCTTGTGAAAAAAATATTTATTTTTGACTATGGTCCGCAAATCTTAAGGACTTGAGTAAAATACAAATAATAAAACTTTGAATATATTTCAAATAATTATTGTTTCAAGTTCAACATTTAAACCAATTTTTAAGTTTTAAATTTTAAATATACTCTAACAATGTGATACATCATAAATTTATAAATAAAATAACCATTTAATTAGATTTTCAAATTAGTAAGAATTATTTTTTATAAGTAAATATTTCGCAAATATAAAATATAATATCTTACTTAGATAAAAAGTTGCCATTTCAAAAAGTTGAATTGAACTATAAATATTCAGTATATAATTTATTTTCAAATACGGATACTTTGACAATTATAATATTCTTATTTTACAATAAGTACGTTATTACATTTTTTTTTTCAAATTGTAATTTTAATTATTTAAAACTCATCATAAGTTATTATACTTCTTTAAGTCTATAACATTAATTTTTCCTTTAATGAGTTAATATTTAACTTTAAAATAATATTATTTTGTTGTGTATGATAAAAATATAAAATATGATAAGAAATTAGGGTTTTATTTTTATAAACTAAACGTTTAGTGATTAACCTCAGATGAGATAGTAGTATACAAAGTGATTGATTTAATATGGATCATTAAATTTATCCTAAAATAATAATTTTAAACGTAATTTTATGTAAACGGTAAGTTATTGGTTATTCTCCAAAATATAAAAATAACCTACAACAAAAATTATCTAACTTTTTAGTTATATTCATAAAAAATTTAGATGCGAATTGGCTTAGTTAAAATTTTGCCTGTTATAAAATAAAAATTAAATGATCCACCTAAACCCATATTAATACAACTAATTTTATTGAATTTGAGAATCGTCTATTAAATAAGGTTTATATGTTTTATTTTTAAAGTGAACTTCTTTAGAAGCGTTACCATGAAAAATAAACTGTACAAACCCAATCGGAAGTATTACGAAAGTTAGCTTTGATTGGGTTAAACCAAACAACCAATCGATTGCTATCCAGATATCATTAATCTTTTGGGAAAAAATTGAGTGACCCCTATTTTTCTATGAGTTTTGGACTCGTATAAATTTTATTTTATAACACATATTCAATTCAGATTTATTTTAATAATAATACATTATTATTCAAATAAATATGTATCAAGATTATTCTTTTAAATTATCACTTAAATAATGATATTGAATAAAAATTTTAATGTGACAATTTATATTAATTCAATCATATCAAAGAACCTGAAAAAAAAATTATTTTTGGTAAGAACTATAATTTTTTTTTTATATGTATCAATGAGTACGTGTATAAATTAAGATTATATTAGATAATAATTGTTTTTTTGTAAAATATTTTTCACTACAAAAATATTGATAGGAACAGTATTTGATAAGAATGAAAAAATTATACTGTACTTCCGAGGAATGAGATTAAAAAATTGATTATTTTAAAATTGTGCATCTATTAATAAATATCTACTTTTTTTTCGTCGCCTTAATTCCTACTACTTGGGGTCAGCCACCCTTATCCTAATCTTCCACTTGACACGATCTCCCACATCCTCTAAGCTCACATCAGCTGTCCTCATATCGCATTCAATAACATCTCTCCATCTCTGTTTTGGTCTTCCTCTACCTCTTCTTCATTCAACATTCATTTCTACAACTGTTCTTACGGCTTCCGATTATTCTCTTCTTATAACATGACCAAACCATCTAAGTCTATTTTCTCTCATCTTATCCACGATTGACGCTACACCTATACTCCTTCTTATATACTCATTTCTTATCCTATCTTCTCTAGTGACTCCATTCATCCATCTAAGCATTTTCATCTCCGCTACACTAATTCTCTGCTCTACTTTCTTGTCAACCGCCCAACAATCTGAACCATACATCATAGATGGTCTCACTACCACACACATCGATAGTCCTTAGGAAAAACTGTCCAAGTCAAAGTATCTAAATATATAAAATTTTAATATGGCACGCCTATAGATGTTAAAAAATGTTGTCGTTTAAAACGAATTGAACAAAACTTATTTGAATTGAGACTTTCATTTGAATTTTACTTTGTATTTATAACTATCTTAAATATTGTACACCTTTATTATTTCCTCTTCTTAGGTGATGTAATATGTAATAATGTGCTGCATGATTGTACGTTTTACAATTAAATACTATTTATATATTTACTATTAAATTTATAGTAGTAATTTATTTTATCAACAAATTTCCAAACATTAACTTATGGAAAATGAAAAGATAATGATAATAATACTCAACTTATTCGACAATTATTTTAAGTAATTAATGTTCAGAATGTTATTTTTTTTTATGAAATTTTATTAGCTTTCTATTAATTATAACAAAAGTGTACTAAGTTTCTTAAAACATTTAAATTATTTTATTCGTTTGTGTATTTTTATTATAGCTTTGTTATTGCTACTATCATTAATGCATAAAATCTAATATATTGCATAGAAAACTAAGTTTAAAGCGATTTGAAAATAAATTGAATAGCGCCGAATTTCTGTTCGGTTAAATTAAAAATTTTTAATAATGACTATAAATTATAGTCATTATAAAAAATGTTTAATTTAATTTATTTATAATAGGTAATACTGATACATCGAATGATGTTACAGATATATCAATCACAAATATCGATATTTTTTCATATCGTTGTCATCCCCATATATAAATGTAATATGGAATATTTATACAATTTCTCATCTAAGTTATAAACCATGGTTATATAGTCTATTTACCACATATCTCATACTGTGGTTTAACATTTTATACTGAAATGTTGTTATTGGTTGATGGGCGGAATCATCCAAATAATCAAATTAGGAATTTTCCATTATAATTTACATAATTACTTTTTTTAGTACATGTTTAATGTTATATATTAGGTATTAGGTTTTAGCAATTAATATGTTTAACTTTTAATTGTATTTTTATAATTTCATGGCGAGTAACTTATGTGTAAAACAATTCATTATAACTGTATAAATACTACTTATTTTTAATTTTTTTACTTAATCCTAAATAGTGGTGTTAGTTAAAATAAGTTTTTAAAACATAGATTTTGTACAATTACGGACACATTATGTTTGGGACTGAAATTATATGTGATTTTTAAAATTTATGCAGTCTTTTTTATCGAATTTATTTACAATAGATCATATTTAGAGTATTAATTAAATTGTAAAACTTATCATTTGATAAAACATAGGTAAGCCAAATTTTTTTGACATTTACTATGAATATTTTTCTCTCTTCACATGAGTAATTCTCAATTTATTAAGATATAAACAATTTTTTTTAGCTATGTTAAGCAGCTGGACCAAACATTCACTTCATTGTATTCTATTAGTACTTGTAATAGCTACATTTGAAATTTGGTCTGGAGGAGTAAAACTTTCAAAAGACGTTCAAAATACTTTTAATTTTAACCCATGGGAACGTTATGGATTCATGTGGTGCTTTATGCTGTATTTACTACGATTTTTAACATTTTTACCTCTACCTCAAGTAATATTAAACTTTGGTGGCCTAACACTATACAATGCATTTCAAGATAAAGTCATGTTAAAGGGATCACCTTTATTAGCTCCGTTTATTTGCATTCGTATAGTAACAAGAGGTGATTATCCTCAACTTGTCAAAGCTAATGTTGCTCGCAATATGGCTAGATGCTTGGAAACTGGTAAATTAAATAATAATTAAAAATTAAAAAATATTGTATAATTTATATTTGTATCAGATAAAAGCAAAATAATATATAATTTTATAATCATTTTGTTTTATAGGTCTTGAAAATTTTATCATCGAAGTAGTAACAGATAAGTATGTTGGATTACCTGTTCATAGGAGAATTAGAGAAGTTGTTGTACCAAAGTCTTATAAAACTAGAACTGGCGCTTTATTCAAATCTAGAGCTCTTCAATATTGTCTTGAAGATAATGTAAATATGTTGGCTGATTGTGATTGGGTTGTTCATTTAGATGAAGAGACACTCTTAACAGAAAATTCTATTAAAGGCATTTTAAATTTTGTTATTGATGGCAAACATCAATTTGGTCAAGGTCTTATTACCTATGCTAACGAAGAAGTTGTAAATTGGTTTACAACTTTAGCTGATAGCTTTAGAGTTGCAGATGATATGGGTAAACTTAGAATACAGTTGTCAATGTTCCACAAGCCACTTTTAAGCTGGAAAGGATCTTTTGTAGTCACACAGGTAATTAAAATATGATCTATATTTGTTAAAAGTAATAAAATATAATTAAGTTTTTTTTAAAAAAAACATAAAAGTAATATTGCCATTTAAGATGCAACACCTTATATCTCACTTTTTCAACTTTTCAGGAGAGCAAAAAACTGATTTATTACTGATATATTTTAGTTAGTAGCTGCTATCATTTTCACGTTTTTGACAAATAACTGTTTTTCTGATTGTTTTTATCAGACGACCAATTGATTTCTCGCGAAATTTAAAACAAGCTAGTGGCGCCAACTCAATTTGGCTATAAAGTGAGATATAAGGTCTTAATCGGTGATATACTGTTTATTTTAAATACATTTATGTATTTAGAAAGAAGACCTCACCGAACAGATATTTTATTATATCAATATGTTTATAGTTGGGCATGTAAGAAGTTAGGAGAAGTTCATAAGACTTCAATCCCCTACCCCAAATTTTTTTTTCTAGTTTTTTATTATTACATAGAGGGAAAGAATATTTTGTTTAAACCACCTCCCAAAATGAAATTATGGCTATGTGAATGCAGTGGCGCAACTAGAGTTCAAATCTTGGAGGTGCTACAATTATGAATCGCTTATAAAATCGTGGGGGGGCTCCGCCCCCCACACCATCTCCATAACATAATCTCAATATTTAAATTATAATACTATTATTATATTCGCAATATCATTTTTGGAAAAATTAATATAGTACATTAAATTTATTTACTACAGTATTTGAATATATTACATTTTTTTTTATTTTATACCAAAAGAGTAATTTTAAAGTGTTAAGAATAATTTTCGGTCAACATTTGCAAATGTGCTTAAAATTTCTTCGGAAGGAATGCAATTAGCAAGATCCCTTTCAATATTCAAAATACTTAAATTTGTAAAACGTTGCTGCAACAAGCTGCTTTGTAACCAGTTTTTCAACTTCCTCATGGAGGAAAAACTTTGTTCACATGTTGCAAAACTAAACGGTATAGTTAAAGTAACCTGAATTAACTTGTATACAATCAGAAATTTTTCTTTATCTAGAATTTCTTTTATTTCATCTTTACTGTTTCTTTGCTACCAGCATTTCTGATTTTAAGCATTCGGTGTTTGAATTTATTATGTCCTAAAATCATAGAACATTTTTTAACTTTCTAAAATGTAATGATTTTATTACATTTGATACTTAATAACTTATTTAATATGCACCTTATATTGTAGAATAAAATATTGACTATTTTCATAGTCCATGTTTATAAAATTATCAATGGCTTTTAGCCATCTTAAGATTTTCATTTGAAAACCTGAACTCTAAATTTTTAATAATAGTATCAATAATTGAGAGATAAATTGTTTGCCTCCAATAGGTTTGAACTGATTCTTTTTGTTCTTCATAATTAGCTCTGTTTCCAAATGAAAATTTTTCAAATTATTTGGTTTGCTTCTTTTTTGTTTTGATACTTAAAAAATTTTTTTATAAATCGCTATAATATTGATAATATAATATAATATACCATTTAGAATATATACAACCTTGATGATATACCATTTATTTATCAGTATGTAAGATAAGAAAAAATATATTATATATATATGATAGTAAAATCTTAAAAAATAAAAATACATTGTTAAAAGTATACATATTTGAAATTACAAAGATGTGGAACTTGGGGGTGCTTCAGCGCCTCCGTAATTGCGCCACTGTGTGAATGTTTATAATATGTTATAAATGCAACTATTAAAATGAACATAATGTTGATTGATTAGCTAGGGGCTGAACGACATATTTCATTTGATAACGGATTAGATGGATCAATTGCAGAAGACTGTTTCTTTGCTATGAGAGCAACAAAGGAAGGATACACATTTAACTTTATTGAAGGGGAAATGTGGGAGAAGTCCCCGTTTTCTCTTTGGGATTTTATACAGCAACGTAAACGTTGGCTTCAAGGCATCTTATTGGTAGTACATTCTGTTGCTTTACCAGCAAAAACTAAAATATGGTTAGCATTATCATGTTACTCATGGGTAACTTTGCCGTTATCGACATCAAATTTAATATTAGCGAGATACTTTCCTATTCCATGTCCAGCTATAATGGACTTTGTTTGTGCTTTTATAGCAGGAGTAAACATATACATGTACATATTTGGAGTTATGAAATCATTTTCTTTGTATCGCTTTGGCTTAATTAAATTTACATTGTGTATCATTGGCGCTTTATGTACAATACCTTTTAATGTTATAATTGAAAATGTTGCAGTAGTATGGGGACTTTTTGGTAACAAGTACAAATTTTATGTTGTGCACAAAGAAGTTAAACCTCTTGTTACTGTATAATTGTAAAGTTAATGTGTTCATTTAACTGGATCTGATAAATGGGAGGGAAAGACTATCTTGCCATTACTAAGTATACATCATATTAGCTAGATACCACATGGCTTAAAAAGTTGTCATCTTGAGAGCATTTTTTTCCAAATTTTTAAGTAAAAATTGTATTTATAAAAGGCACCTATTTTTATTTGTTAATTAGTGCTAATACAAATTTGTTAGTGTTATTGTATAAGTTAGTTCTCAGTTAAATTGTGTTATTTATCTGCAATAACTCCAGTTATTTACATAAAAACATAAACTAATGTATACTGATATACTTAAATTCACATTTTTTCTCTTTTATGATTTTAGTAATAGATAAGTAAAATTTGCTTATCTTATATATTATATCTGCAACTTATAAAAACATTAATAGAAATTTGTTTTAGTTACAATATTAATTGTAAAGTTACTAAATTCAATTTTACAATACAAGTTGTAAATACAGTTAATTTTTATAGATCCAGATCTCTAATATATTAAAAAAAAACCTGGCAAAACTAGTCATAACCTAGTTTTATTTTAAGTTATTTAGAGTTAAATATATTATTAATGTTTTTTTTAAACCATTTAATAAGTATTTTGCACTTAATTTAGTATTAAATAAAAATAAGTAATAAATACAATGATCAAATCAATATACTTATCACCAGAAATGTTACATTTGAACACCAAATATTATTATTATTTTATTTAAGAGGAACAAATTTACATAATTATTTTAACATTCAAGTGTTATATTTGTTAGTTATTTCTTATCAAAGAAAATTAATCTTTTATGATTAATTTCTAATCGTCTGTTATTTTCTTACTACTTAATTTTTCTTTTTTTACTTTTCTTTAACATTGGAAATATTGTAAATACAAAATAGTTTTAGTTTTAATCATAAGATTAAAAAGTTAACTTAATTAAATTTTAAAAACTTAAAAATAATTTTTTAGATCACCAATGAGCTTAAAAAATATAGTATTAAGTAATTTTTATTCTATTTATTATTTTTTCATATTCTTTATATAAGTGTTTTAGGTAGATTTTACTATTATTATGTAACTTATTATTTTAAGCTAGCCTTGTCTTTTAAAAATCGATATAATAAATATATTATAATTCTATATTGATTAATTTATCTACTAATAAATGTTTAAGTAAATATTTAAGTGTTTCTATTATTAATGCTATTATTTAAATTCAGCAAATTAAATACTGAAAGGAAATCTTATGGAGAATCAAAATAATTTAATATAGAAAATAATAAGTATCAAAGTATTTTTATCTAGTTAAAAATGCAATATAAAATTAATAAAAAAGACACAGTTAAAAAAAAATTCGGAGTACTAAATTTAATTCTCCCTTAAAAATATTTTTATATTACATTCTTTTTCATCAACCTAACGGTCAACCAGGAGCATGACTGTCATCAAAATTTCTCTTCGTGTATCTCTCTGAGAAGCTGTCTGTAAGGTTATGATCTGGTTTAATATTAATAAATCTTTGAGAATCAGCTACTCATCCGCTCTTCTTTTTTGCCCGAACCATTTTAGTAATTTTCGCATAATAAAGGAGAATAATCGGCCTTATTATATCCTCTTTATATTTTCTTTACTTCTTTTATATGCCAAAATTTTGAAAAGAAATTAAATATAAGTGAAACTAAGAAATACATTTATTAAGAAGCTAAAAAACAACAAAGCCCCAGAAAAGGACACAGTATAGTGACAGAACTACTAATAAAAGGTAGTTCAATGTTAGCAAGTACAATTGGAATGGTTATTACAAAAATACGGAAACCGAGAATATCTCAGAATAAATATAGTTTAAAAAATCAAAAAACACGCTTTTAAAGCACATCGAACTAAAAAACTAAAAATTATTTTTAGTTTTTATAAACTATATTTATTTTTACTTTTTAGTTTCATGTTATGATAGTAGTTACTATCAATATCATGGTTGTAACGGGAAATCAGGGTTCGATTCCGGAGAAACGGCTCTCACATCCAAGGAAAGCAGCAGACGCGTAAATTAGCCACTCCCGGAACATGGAGGTAGTGACGAAAAATGACGATACGGAAATCATCCTTTGTAATCGGAATGAATACACTCTATATCTCTTAATGAGAATAAAGCGTGTTAATATATTTTTTCAATAGGAATTAAAATATATATATATATACATGAAAAGCGACTTAAGTACGTAAACGTATCATGCACGAGGTATAGCTGTATATTGTGGACGGGCGGTGCGCGGGGGAACGTTGTACGCGAGGCGTATCCGGCGGCTGTAGGAATATATATATATATATATACATACATACATACATATATATAATAAGGTGACATAAGTACATAAACGTATCATGCACTAGGTATAGCCTTGTTTATTGGGCGGGAGAAACGTTATACCTAAGGTGCAAACGGTGGCAGCGGCGGTAGGAATATATAAATATATATACGTAAGGCGCATTAGACGCGGGTGATATTGGTCAGTCAAAATAAGAATTTGTTTATACATATAATTGATGACGGGCACGAAAACCAAAAATATAAAATTATCAGAATTAGTGTTGCCGTTGTGTGGTGAGCGAGGAGTGAGGTGGGGTGAATGCGTTACGACAGTCTAGTCTCAAGGTCATAGACGACGGGATTCGCGAGAATAATAACACGTGGCGTGTGGAGAGTTACACACAACTCACATACAAGTGAAACTAATATAATGGGAAAATGCAACCGTACATCAAATATTTTTGAAAAAAAATCTCACTAAAACAACTATAGAGGAATCTATAGTTATAAAACTGGACACAAAAGTTAAATTCACTGATACTAGAAAAAACAAAATAGTATCGAAGAAACTGTTAAGTACATTGGTAATTACCTTTGACTCTCAAAAAATAATAAGTGACAAAAAGTACAATCGTAGGATAATGATAAGTAATAATCAAGTTTTATTAGCATATGCAGATGACATTGTGGTAATGGGAAAAACTAAAGAGAAAGTCATACATGCAATATACAAGCTCATAAAAGTAAATAAAGGAATAAATGTAAACGATGGAAAAAACTAAGTTGTTTTAAGAAGATTGCCAAATTTAGATTCTTTATAAGTTAATAATTTTAAGTATTTAAGGGGGGTGATCGCCCTTTCTGTATCAATGCTATCGATATTTAAATATATCAATATTAAAGTCGATATTTCAAAATTTTGCCTCTTAAAGACCTCTTTTATGATCATTGCTTTGCTTTTTAGTAAAAAATTTTTAATTTTCTAGCAAACTTGTTGAAGTAAAAAAAATAAGTCCCCCTAAAATTAGTTCTAAGTACGTCCCTGATACTTGGTCGTAAAAAATAATTTGCTTACAGAAATAAACGAGAAAATAGATGTTATTTCAGTATTATTAAGTTCATGAGATTCATACCTTCATAATAACATACACTTGTAAGATCTAATAGTGATAGCAAAAGACATTATGTTAGAAAAGAAAGTGTTATAAACCTTTGTATGATTTAATGGGGTGCACGTACGAATTGTTAATATATTATATAGGAAAAACTTTTTTTTTAGTAAAATATTAATCAGTATAGAAATATTTATAGGAATGAAAAAATTAGGAAACGTAATTTCGATAAATTAGATTACTTGAGACAACATTACATGGAAATTAATTAATGTCAGACTGTATTACTGAAGAAAATATTAGGAAAAGTATTATCACGTATCATACTATTATGGAATACAATTTTCTGGAAAAGTAATTTCCCGTGTAATATCATCATGGAATACATCCTTTTTTTTTCACAACCTCCTGTTAGCCGGATCCCAGAGTGGGAACCATGTAGGAGGGTTGGCAAAATGACTCACAACATAAAACACAGATAACGTAAAAACAAGAACCCAAGGCGCCGGCCTAAACAAATGCCCCAGGTCCTCTTGAGCCAGGCGGCGTGGCTGCCTCTGTTTCAGGCGTTCCGCGCTTCCTGCTTCTTTTTCAAGACAGATTCAGCGAATATCTGGAAGAGCTTCTACGCCTCCCAGTTGACCAACATCACCATGGACCCGACTCGGAACGCGGACTCCTTGGCCCACGCCTCGTACCGGAAGAGGGTGTGCAAAACACTGTCTGCCTCTTTCGGGCAATCCGAATAGTGGTCGCACGTCGGCACAGCTGCTTTACAAATACGGTGAAGGTACTCGTTAAAGCAGCCGTGCCCAGAAATCACTTGCGTGAGACGATAAGTCATCTCACCGTGAGTCCGGTACACCCATCTGCCAACCGATCGGGTACGAATGGAATACATTCCTTTGAAAATACTTTTCCGGAGTTATTATGGTTATAAAACACTACAGAATACCATTATAATATAATATTCTACTATTAAAATAGTAATTATAAATTACGGTTTAATTGATATATATTATATATCTAAATATATGATAAATAAAGGATTATAAAAACATATATTACTATTTTATTTAAAGTCTCATTTAACTCTTAATTAATTATAAGAATTTATGATTCCTGCTAATTCCTTCTAATTATTGTTCTTATTGTTCATTGTTTAACAATTAAAACTATTGTTGATTTACTTAAGGCGTCTGGGTACCGACCGCTTTTTAGTCAAAAACAACTCGTTTTTGTTCCATGAGTACGACGAAACTACTGATGCGATAAGAATTCTGAAAACATATCTGAATTCAGTATCATGTCACTTAGGTATCGGTCAGGCCATATTTTTGAAATTTTGATGTTTTTAACCCTTTATTACAGTTTTCATTTTCTAATAATTTTTAAATTTTCAAAATAATTTTTTACGTTGAAGGAATCACAATTTCAAAAAAGTGGCCTGACCGATACCTAAGTGACATGATAATGAATTCAAATTTGTTTTCAGAATTCTTATCGCATCAGTAGTTTTATCGTACTGATGGAACAAAAACGGGTTGTTTTGTACGCTCAAACTAATGGTTTTCAAACAGTAGCTGTTATATGTGACATGCTCGTACACGTATGTGCGTTATCCGCAGCAGCTATTTTATTGCCCACACCCAGAGAAAAACCTCGATCTATATAATAAATTCATCGTTCAATTTGATAAATATATCGTTACTATTGAATCTATGATATATTTATCAATATGATGATTTTTTTTCTTGTCTTGAACAATAATTATTCATAAGAATAATTATTTTGTTCGTATTAATAAAACATTATCATAAACCCTTGATAAAATTTCTCTATTAAAATTGATTGAGATTTTTCTTTGGGTGCATAGGTTGCATAGGGCAATACCGACTGCCTAAAAATAGTTACAATGCATACTTGATATTATACCTGTAAATATGATATTAGATTATTTGCTTTTATCTTATTTGCAAAGCTGTCATTACATAGTAAGAAACAATTTTTTTTGTTGTATTCCTATATAAGTGTCGCTAAAAAAATGGAGAGTCATAAAAAAATATTTGGTCAGGTACGAATATATAAAAATAATTTACATACACTTTCTTAGTTTCGATAGAAAACTGAGAAGGTATTAGTTTTACTATGATGTATTTTTTGCTTGTGTCTATCCATTTCTGTACCTACTGGACATTTATTGCTCAACGATACCCCAAAAAATATATCTTGTTTATGTATTGGGCATTATATTTTAATAATTTCTCTTTAAATCTGACACAATAACGTGTTTTTCTCAGTCGCACACTATGTTATCAAACTAGATCTAACACTAAGTAACTGATGTTATGAGCTTTTTATTTCAACACTTTGGAAATGTACACATACATAAAGTGCATACATCAGACTGAAAATAATAGTTCTTATTAGTAGAAAAAATTTGTAAATAAAAAACACATTATTGTAAAATCAAGATACCACTTCAGCTACACATGAAAATTAAAAAATAAATACAATATATATTATTTTGGTAGAATGTTTTCAATTCTCAAACTAACATTTTACTTGACATACCTCAAACAAGTAACGAGGAGAATTTAATAAATGAGAGAGTAATTTTTTCACGAAGAAAAATTTTTAAAAAAGGGCAAGGTTAAAATATAATTTATTAGAAACAAACACTTTTTTTTCTTTAGAAAAATTGGAGATGATAGTTTTTATGATTTTTTACCATTGTCACGTAGTGCACTAACTCTTGATACTTGTAAAAAAATTTCTTCAGAAGTTAACCAATTATTGAAAGAGTTAGTTTATTTTTTATAATATTATTTTACAATGAAATTAATACACATATTAAACTATTTTAGGTATAATTTAAACAATCGTAGAATAATAAATATTGAACATTTTTTTAATAGTTTGAAATCAATTAAACACGAGTTATTTGCCTGTAATTTTTCAAATTTTGTATTTAAAACTGAAGTTCAAAGGGTTTTTTTTTCAGAATTTCACTTTCAATATAATTTTAGCAAAAAAAAAGAAAATATTTATTCAGAGGATCCCAAATTAAATGATTCTCTTAATATAAATACTGCAGTTGTTACTGCTACTTTGAATACTTGTAAGGGGTTTACAAATTTAGAACAGTTTTCTGCTGTACTAAATATGCCTTGTATGAGTAATAAGACGTATAAAAAATATCATGATTATATTGCTAAGCAAATTGAAAAACCTACATGGGATTCGATAGAGTTAGCGGGGAAAGAAGAAACTAGGTTTGCTATTGAAAATGGATAAGTGAATGACAAAGGACTTCCCATAAGAACAGGCTTATAAAACTTAAATATTTTAGTGTGTAAATAATGTAATTTTGTAAATTGAATTCTTATAATTAAAATTAGTTTTATAACTTCAAAATAATCGATGTGGATGTCATATGATTTAACTTGTTTTCTATAAATATTTAGTTTTTCTTAATCGTCGAAAATAAATAGTTTAATTATTTTTATAATCAATTAAAATTTGTGAAATCGTGACACGTCTATTAGTATTTACAGTGAGGCTGGTGCTTAATTATAGTTTTTATACTACATAAAATAAACGTGTGTCGTTATCAATATAATCGTATTGCAACAAAAAGTAAGGCAGGTACACAACCGGTTTTGTTATCGACTATAACACGACGAAAATACTCCCAATATTGGACACTCACACTAATAATCATTTATTTCTCACACAACGACACTGCGTAACATGTAAAAACCACAAAATTGCCTATATTCGACCCCTGAAAAAAGGTCGGTACCCAGACGCCTTAAAAAGTATAAATAAATNATCCCTGAAAAAAGGTCAGTACCCAGACGCCTTAAAAAGTATAAATAAATCTTTATATGTAAGAACAAAACTAATAAATGTGTGCAATTCTCCGTTTACTCGTAATAAAATAATTGTTGTGTTAAAAATCTTCACAAGTTAAAGAGTGATGTATTTAGAAAATACTTAATTTTCTATCAACTCGATTCCCCATTCTTACACAACCTCCCCAAACGCAATCGTACCTGTTGCATTATACCTTTCGAATAAATTCGCTGAAATAGTTATTTTGGTATAACAATAATAATCTATGTAATAAATATCTATTATTGGCTTATTATACTTTTTAAAAAGAGGCCTTTTTGAAAACAGCTGATAACCACATTCATTTTTCTACATCAAGTTAAGACCAATACTTGAATTTCAATACGGCTGTTACAATAAAATTACTAAAATTCTGTTTCACATAGATATAAATTCGCAAATAATCAAGTATTTTTGGATAATTAAAATTTTTATATTGTTTCGAAATCCTATAATAAATGACGAAAATAACATTCACTTGTAGTGTAAAATTAGGGAACACTATGTCTATATTAAAAATATAGACATAGTGTTAAAAATATAGACATAGTGTTGTATGTTGTCAGAAGGAAACTTTAGAGGAGGGATAAGGAAAACTTAGACCTAGTTGAGGTTAAAATCAACAAATTTATTGATTATATACAGCTTATAAGTAATATTTATTGGCTGAATAATAGTTTTGTTTGAACCAAAAGAAATCTTTTTAATTAAATCGCTATTTTTACATTTAAAACGAGAATTTATGTAGGACACTTAGTTACACATTACTATTCAGGATATATATTATTTTAAGTCTTGTTTTAATCCACTATAGTATAGGCACTTTAATTGTTAACAATAGAAATACTTATCTTATTTAATTTCAGTTTATAAAATTAATAGACATTTTTTTGAGGACTAGAGAAAATATAAAAATAATAGTTTTCAAAAAAATTATTTGAACATTTAATAACTGATAAAAAGTTATAGAATTAAGTTATCTTTGTTAGTAAACTGCAAAAATAAAAATATTGTCTTTTCTTAAAAAAAGAAGTTAAACCCCTAGTTTATTAAATTTGTGAATTCAATTTTTGATACATGAACCTTGGACTTTGATCAAATGTATGAATAACATTAAAAGACCGGTTCCCGCCAATTAAAATTATCAAGATGCATGAGGAGACCTATGGCCCTCTATTACACTTTGTTAAGGCTAAAAATTATACCTTACATGATTATTATGATGTCTATTCTAGTGATAAAACTTTTTGTAGTCTGTGTACAAGTTGGTGACTTTTAGATTATATTGAATTTATCTTCCCATCAATTTTTAAAAATATTATAATATAAAGTAAATATAAAACAAAAAATTTATTTTTGAAAATATTTATTCATTGATTTATTTTTTAAATAATTTATAGCTACAGAATGGCAATTATTCGCTTTTATCGAAAAACAGAATATTTACCAAATTCTGAGTACTTCAAAATTCTACAGCTTAAGTCAATATCATCTGACTTAATTGATATTCAAATTGAAAATTGTTTTTACATTGATGCTGGAAACCAAGATAATTTATCTGTTGATTCATTAAAGAAGCTAGAATGGTTGTTGGCTGACCCTTATCATAAAACTGGATTAAGTACCTTAAGTTTTCTAGATGAAAAATTAAATGATTATTTGATAGAAGTGGGTCCAAGGTATTTTTATTGTTGAAAATGTCAATTATCATTAAATTTACTTATATTAATAATATATGTCTAGGTTGAATTTTTCAACACCCTTTTCTAGTAATGTTATATCCATTTGTAAAACAATAGATTTAAATTTTATAAAAAGGTTTGAGAAGTCAACTCGTTATTTACTATCTTTTTCTAAAGAAGGAATTGTTACTTCTGAATTTATTGATCAGGTTTGTAATTATGGATAATGCCGATGTTACTCTAAAATTACAATTATTTTTAATTTTAGATTAAAAATATTCTTCATGATCAAATGGTTGAAACTATTTATTCAACACCATTAGAATCGTTTGAAATTAAAAAATCTAAAGATAATTGGTATGAAGTAGATATATTGAATAAAGGAATGGATGCTATGATTGATGTCAATGAAAAACTAGGTTGGTAAAAACAATTATCACTGACTATAAATACCTTATGCTGATATTAAGGGAAGGCAACTAGGGGCTTGCCTAGGGTTTCATGTGAAATGTAGTTTATGAAAGTTCATCCCATATTTTGATTTTGCATTCTATAATTGTCTAAGGCCTAATATATAGTGTTCAATAAATAAAGAAACAGATCAATTGTTACAAATAATGAAAACAATAGAAACCCATTTATCAAAAATATTTTTTATGGTACATATAAAATTTTTTTTGTATAGATTATATCCATAAATTCTTTATTTGGTAGATTTTTAAATTAAATTAGTTTCTTAACTTTTCTCAAATTATTGATGTCTTTAATTTTAGTTATGTTGTAACAGTGATCAAGTTTTTGCAATTAAAAAATATTCGTAATAAACTTTTTTTTGTTATACCTGCTGAAAATTTTTTACTTAACTTTTATACTTAAACTTATATACTGAAGAAGATTATTTAATTCCATCCTTATATCTTAATATATTTAAATTATGTACATAAAATTTTTACATTCTAATTCTTGAAGTAATTATGAATTTATTTTACAATTAGGTTTAGCATTTGATAAATGGGATATAGAAAACTATACTAATATGTTTTTAAAATTAAAACGAAATCCAACAAATGTTGAATGTTTTGATTTAGCTCAATCTAATTCTGAACATAGTCGTCATTGGTTTTTCAAGGTACTTTAATATTTAATAGTAATCTTTAAATACTTAAAACACTATTATTTTTTATCATTTTAGGGTCATCTAAGGATTAATGGAGAACCTATAAAAATGTCTCTTTTTGATATGATTATGGAAACTCAAAATTTTTCTAATGCAAATAATGTAATTAAATTTTGTGATAATAGCAGGTTAATATTTTTATAGTTGAAACTAAGAGTCATATTGACATTTTTTTTTATAAATTTAGTGCTATAAAAGGATTTACTGTAAAACATATAATACCAAATGATTCTTCTAGTCCTAGTAAATACATTCCTCTACAGTCAAATTTTAATTTAGTATTTACTGCTGAAACACATAATTTTCCTACTGGAGTTGAACCTTTCAGGTAGATTATTTTCATTATAAATATGACTTTTTTTTTTAATTTAAAATTAAAATTTTTTTAAGTGGTGCTTCAACTGGGACTGGAGGAAGAATTAGAGATGTGCAAGCTGTTGGCAGAGGAGGACATTGTATTGCTGGAACTGCAGCATACTGTGTTGGAAATCTATTCATTCCAGGTAATTTTATTTGACTATAATTTAATAATACTTATAGTGAATTTCTCATAAAATAACTGGAGCCCTACAAGATTTCTCTTAAAAGAGCATAGTAATCAAATGTATGATATTGTTTAAGATCCATTAAATTTTTTGTTTTTGTTTGTATTAAATAAAAAGTAGACTAAAATTTAAGGATCTCTCTGATCACGAATATGAGTATTGCCACTAACAGTAAGACTAGGAGCAGAAATTATTTCAGTTTCTCATATATTTTTATTACATCTAGTAAATGATCTATAAATATTTTTTCAAATCTTGTTAGAATTTGATTACAGAAACTGAAAGTATTATGAGATATTTAAAGTCTTAAATAAACTTAAATATAACATAAAGATAAAACCCCGAAATTAATCAATACATTTTATCAGTTAATTTTGGTTTTTAAAGTAAAATTTTAAGTTCAATTAAATTTTTAAAGTCAATCTCATAATATTTTCAGTTTCTATAATTATTCCAACAAGTACTAAAAGAAATATAGTATAAATTAACTAACATTCTTCATGAATTAATAAAAATTTCCTAATCCTGACCCTTAATTTTAACTATGATCCTTGAGTTTTGTGTAATTAATAGTGGCGGGGAATAAATCTGGTTTATTTTTAATTCAAATTTCAGTGTAAAAAATTCAGATTTAACGACAAAACCATATTTTATGAAGAAACTAAATATATAAATTAATTCTGTAATTTGAACTTCAAACTTGGATTTATAAACTTCATTAAACTGTTTTAATCATTATTACATTTGATTGATTTATCATTGGCCACTAAATTCTTCTAAAATAGTAATAATATAGAGAAGTTTTTCATTAGCTTATTTATTTCTCAATTTTTTAATAAAAATGTTTTTTAGATCTTTCTTTATTAGTTATGAATATTTTTATACCCTTATGAAAAAATAAATAATTAATATTGTGATAACTCTAAAAACAGCAGTGGGGATAACTAAATAAATAATTAGGTCAACTGAAAGTTCAGTTGTTACAACTATCTCAATTGCAGTTGTCACACTATATTAATCATTGATAAAAAATACTCGGTTTTCAAAACTTAGGAATATTTAGATTTTTTGGATAAATACCATAAAACTACTTTATAATTTTTTATAGTTTCTCTGTAAATTTTACAATATTAAATTGTTGAATATCAATGTCCTACTATGATTAATTACTATAATTAAAACTATAAATTACTAATTATTTATTTATATATTATACTTATAAATCAAAGAACTATTAAACAGGATATAATTTAATAAATATGAGTTTATTTTGTTTCTAGAATAATCCACTAATTTCTTAAAATGAAAAACAATTTATACATTTGCTCTGAAGTATTTTTTGTGATACTAATTTTAATCACTGTCAGATATCATTTAAACTTGTCCCAACTATTTTATGTCACTTGTTTTAACAAGTGACGTTATTAGTTCATATTTTTAAATATTATTATTTTACTTTATATCTAGGATATGATTTGCCTTGGGAAGATCCATCTATGAAATATCCCTCAAATTTTGCAAAACCTCTCAAAGTACTAATAGAAGCATCCAATGGGGCTTCTGATTATGGAAATAAATTTGGTGAACCTATAATTTGTGGGTTTGTTAGGTCATTTGGTATGGTTTTTAATGATGAACGCCGTGAATGGATTAAACCTATAATGTTTACTGGAGGACTTGGTACTATGCTAGAAAAATATACTGAAAAAAAAAGGCCTGAAAAAGGGTTGCAAGTTGTAAAAATAGGTGGTCCAGTTTATAGAATTGGATTAGGAGGAAGTTCAGCAAGTTCATTTCAAGTACAAGGTGTTAATAAATCTAGCTTAGAATTTGAGGCTGTTCAAAGAGGAGATCCAGAAATGGAACAAAAGATGAATCGAGTAATTAGAGCTTGTATAGAAAGCTCAAAACATAATCCAATACTCAGTATTCATGATCAAGGAGCTGGTGGAAATGGTATTAAAAATTATGTTTTTATTTTTATAATAATTGTGGTAAATAGCTGAGGAAGTATTAAATAACAACGATATTAGTATAATATAAGTTTTACCACATTAGTAAGCCATTTTTAAATTCTTAAGCAATATAATATTAAGGGAAAATGTAGGGTAAGCAAATTAATAATGGTGAAAAAAATAATATGTAAAGGAAAACATGAAAAAAAAGGGGGATTAACGTTTTGACAAAGAAATTTTGGGTTATGTGTCAGGACTTTTGTCGTGTAAAACTGATATTGTATTCGATTGTTATGTAGTATTTTGTTTTTGTACTTATTACATATGTAAATAAAATAACTATGTAAAACCTGCACTTAGCATAAATACTTTATATTCACCGTACTGTTAAAATTGTGTGCGGCAAGAGTCGAGGTTGGACTGCTGGTCCTTTAGTTGATCATCATAATTAGTATGCATGCTAACTACTTTTTGGGCTTAACCATCCTTTAGTAGGTATAGTGAGAAGGTAGTTGTGCTGGTGCCTGACGAAAAGCTGCCCTACAGTCTGCTACTTTTGAGCTAGATTGTTCTGACGGGTCTAAACTCTACCCCTTTAGTAGTTCACTAATTGAAGGATGGGGGCTGACCAGTGTATCCAACGGGAGGACTCGAGAAAAGCTAAAAATGACGAACTCGTTACCAAATAATATTAATTATTTTGTGTACTACTTTTGTGTCTATATCGAAGTACTACCGACGTACTACATAAAAAAGTAACACTTTAAAAATAAATTTAAGTACTTTTTTGGAATAACAGTGAGACGATTATTATATGTTAATGTTGCAGTGTAAGATTAAGAATTTATATTATGATTTTTTATTAATAAATATAATTATATTGTATTTATAGATTTTAATAACTTAAAAAAATGTCCTTTTTCATAACTGTGTCATCATTTTTCAGAACTATTAACTTAAAATATGAACAATTTTGAAATTGTAAAAATGTTATATAAAAGTATAGATTTTATTTCGTGAATTTTGTATATGAAATTATATTTTTCTCAATTCGTTCTAAAACAATAAAAATTTATTATGTTATTTAATGGTTTAAAATCATTTAGTACTTTTAATGTAGTTTTTGAACTTAAAAACCACTAATTGAAAAATTGAAATTAAATGATAATATTTTATTTAAAGGTGTAAAACCATATTTTTGAGATCTTTTAATTTAGATTTCATATAAAAATAGTATAATAATTNTAATGCAATACTATGCGAAGAAAAAGATTTGAAATTTTTAAATAAAATTTCTTTACGTGAAAAATGTCCAGTTTTACCTGTGGGAGTTGTTACGGGAGATGGAAAAGTAAAATATTATTATTAGTAATTAGAGTATATAGAATTATATGATGTTTAAACTTATAGAGTGAACCACTAATTGATCAGAAAATAAAATTAATATTGAGAATTTATTTTTTATTTTATTTTATGTTAAATTTTTTTCAATTTATGTTTCATTAAGTATTCTTTATGCTCATTTCTTATACCTTATAAAGATATAAAATTTATTTTTTAAAAAGTGACATGCTGATANTTATAAAGATATAAAATTTATTTTTTAAAAAGTGACATACAATTAATTATTTTATTTAATAGATAATAATGTAATTTAAAAAAGACTGGTTGATAACAACTTTTGGACCTGTATTTTAGAAGTTAATATGTTATAATGAAGACTGTAGTTAAACTACGAGTATTGTTTTTTTATCACTAGCTATTTCTTGGCCACATACTTCCTCCATCCTAGATGAAAATATGTCCCAAAATTTTCAAAATACTGGTCCCAAAGTTATTTTCTTAATTAGATTATTATCTATTAAATAAAATAGTTAATTATGTATGTAGCCATTTAAAAAAAATTATGTTAAAACCCTTATAAGAATTAAGGGAAGAGCACAAAACATGTATTTAAAAAAAAAAAAAAAAAAACAATTCTCAATAATTTTATTTTTTGATTAATTAAGAGTTTCATAATAAAATAATAATTGTGTGAGTATGTTTATATATATATATATGTATATACTTTTTTTATTTTAATATATATTTTTAGGTAATTCTTGCGGAAGATGATTATATTGATTGTAAAAATAGGAAACATCCTGTAAATTTGGATCTTGATGTTGTGTTGAATAAAGTCCCCCAAAAAGTGTTTGACTTAACTTCAAAGTCAAAAAAGTTAACATGTGTTAATTTATCCGGTATTATACTTTTTGAAGCATTAGATAAAGTTTTAAGATTACCTTCTGTGTCTAGTAAAAGATACTTGACTAACAAAGTTGATCGATCAGTAACTGGTCAAATAGCTCAACAACAATGTGTTGGTCCTCTACATACTCCTCTTAGTGATGTGGCTGTTACTGTTGTTTCTCTACTAGATACAGTAAATAAAAACTTATTGCTTTTTAAATTGATATTAATTTTGTTTTGTTTTTGTAATTTAAAAGGTTGGTATAGCTACGTCAATAGGCGAACAACCTATCAAAGGATTATTAAATTCTGCTGTTGGAGCAAGAATGGCAGTAGCTGAATCAGTAACTAATCTAGTATTTGCTCCTATATCATCATTAGAGGTATTTTACTAAAAACTATATTTAAATTTATTACAATAATAATAATTAAGATGGTTTGGGTATCTCAGAGAAGAAGCTGTTTTTATTGTATACTACTACTAGTATGATACTTGGTCAAAAGTTGCTTTATTTGCTGAGCGAGAAATCAGTTTAGTAGTTGAAGTTGTCATATATATTTCTGTTTCTCAGTGTTTAAAGATCTATATATGCTTCTTAAAAATGATGGTTTTTTAATTATGTGATTTTTTAGTTAAATATCCAATATTTTGTTGATTATACGTAAATATGTCTTGAAACTTATTTTTAGGATGTTAAATGTAGTGGTAACTGGATGTGGCCCGCTAAATTAATTGGTGAAGGCACTGAACTATTTTATGCTTGTAAAGCTATGTGTGATGTAATGAAAGTATTAGGTATTGCAATTGATGGCGGAAAAGATTCTTTAAGTATGGCTGCAAAGGTCGACAATGAAAATGTGAAAGGACCTGGTAATCAACATAATATTTGTTAAAATATGAGTATAATAACTATTTGAATAGTATTAATTAAATAAATAGGATCAATTGTAATATCAACATATGCTCCGTGTATTGATGTGAGTATTATAGTTACTCCTGATTTAAAAGGACCTAGACAAAATTTTATAAAAAAAACTGAAAGTTACCTTTTGTTGATTGACTTATCTAATGGTAATAAACGTCTTGGTGGATCAGCTTTAGCTCAGTGTTATGGACAGCTTGGTGACATTTCACCAGATTTAGATGATCCTCATTTATTAAAGAAAGCTTTTGAAGATGTTCAAACATTAGTGAAGGGTAACTTAAAAATAATTAAGAAAGAATTATAAGAAAAAATAATATGAAATTTTTTTTTTTAAGTTTGTTTAAAAGATATCCTAAAATGATGATTGCATTTTTTGTTATTTTATTGTACTTGTTTTTTAGATAAAAAATTACTATCAGGTCATGATATAAGTGATGGAGGCTTAATAACATGTATTTTGGAAATGGCTTTTGCTGGATATAGTGGATTCCATGTTGATTTAAATAAGATACCAAATCCTAATTGTGCAAGTGATATTGAAATTTTATTTGCTGAGGAATGTGGTTGGGTATTAGAAGTTGAAGAAATATATGTTGAAGATGTTCTTTCAATTATTAGAGCACCTACATTTATAATTGGGAGAACAATTATGTATGGAAATGAATCTCGTGTATGAAAAAATAATATACTATAAACTATTAAATAATAGTTATTTTAAGTTAATTAATTTTTAATTTAGATAATAATAGAAAATAATGGAAATATTATTATTGATCATAAAATGATAGATTTATTTAAAATATGGGAAAAAACTAGTTATGAGATAGAAAAAATTCAATCAAATAAAAATACTGCTTCTCAAGAGTATGAAATACTTTCATATAGATCGGGACCAGTTTATTCTGCTGATTTTATTGTTACAAATCCTATACTTAGTATGTTATTTTTAGAATATTTGCCTTAAGTATCCAATTTAAAAACTTTTTTTTAGGTGATAATCGTCCAAAAGTGGCAGTTCTTCGTGAAGAAGGAACTAATGGTGATCGTGAAATGAGTGTTGCATTGTTTATTTCTGGTTTTGATGTTTGGGATATAACTGTTCAAGATCTCTTATATAACCATGTTAATATCGAGCAATTTAGAGGCTTGATATTCCCAGGAGGTTTTAGTTATGGAGGTAGTTAAATTCATTGAATCTTAAAGAATTTCAAATTATTATTATATAATTTTTAGATGTTTTGGGTTCAGCTAAAGGATGGGCTGCAAGTTTGGCTTTTCATCCAGAAGTTAAAAAAAGTTTAGAATATTTTATGGCTAAAGACAATACATTCAGTCTTGGGATTTGTAATGGGTGTCAACTAATGTGCTGTCTTGGCTTAGTTGGTATAGATATTAATTCTATTAAAAATAATTTATCAAAAAAAAAAAAATTTTAATTTTGCCATTCCATGTAGATATAGTGAAAATGTGTAATCGAGTTTATGGTTCTTTTAAATTGGTTCTTCTTACTATTTTTTTAATTAAATAAGCATATTTATGCCTTAATCTGTAGACAATTTTTTGCAGATTAGTTGGTCAGTATAATTCTCATTTAAAAGATTGAAAATTTTGTGGTATCTGAATTTCACATGTTAACCAATGTGTATCTTTCGAACTTTTATAAGAATTTTCTAATTTAATAAACAATTTTTAACTTCAATGCAAAGCTGAGAAGGTATTATTTAACTATGATTGGTTTTTTTTTTTGTTTTTGTATCTGTTACCACTTTTTCTCAGCTCTCATCGAACCAATTTCTTTCAACAATACGTTAAAAGATCACAAATCGTATTTAGTCGAAGACATTACCCTCAAAAATTGAAAAAATTTCCCTTGTTCCCCGTAAATGGGGGAAATCTCCAAAAAAATTATAAATTTAAAAATCGCTAATTTTTGAAAATTTTTTTAATTAAACCTGCCATAACTTTTTAAAAAATGAACAAATCAATATAATTTTTTTTATAGATGCATGATGTTTTTATTTATCATTTGACGTATTTTTTTTATAAATTTGACACTTAACTTGCCCACAGGGGGGAATTTAAAATGACAACTTTTTCAACTTAACCTTTGAAAGTGTTCCGGAAAGTATGACACTTTTATATATATCTTAAATTAAAGCTAATTTAATGTACTTTATTATGAAAAAAAAAAAATTCGGACTTTATTTTGTCTTAAAATTCTCGATCTTATATATTACATTTTTAACTTTAAAATGCTATTACTTTTTGAAAAGTGTATGGATCAATATAATTTTTCCATGAGAAGTAGTATTTATATACATCTTTCATTCGACATACTTTTTTTTTAAATCGGACAATTTCACTATAATGGGGGGGGGTTCAAATTTGAAAAATGCATATAGAAAGTAGAACTTTTTCAGCTTAATTTTTGAAATTGTAACGGAAAGTCTGACATTTTTATATATATCTTAAATTAAAGCTAATATAATGTACTTTATTATGAAAAAAAAAAATTTCGGACTTTATTTTGTGTTCACGGTGAAAATGGCTACCAAATGCTATTTTTGTATGAAAATTCTCCATTTCATATCTTACATTTTTAACTTAAAAATGCTATAATTTTTTGAAAAATGTATGGATCATTATAATTTTTTTATAAAAAATAATTTGTATCTCTCTTTCATTCAACATACTTTTTTTTTTAAATAATACCACTTCCCTCTATATATGTTTATATTATACACACATTTATATATATATAAATATTCATACATTACACTTATAAATCATAAAACTTGTAATCAGGATACAAATAAGAAAATAGGAGATCATGTAGCTTTTGGACTAACCCATCAATTTTTTATTAAACACTATCTATAGATTTGCAATGAGGTGTTTTTTATGATAGTGATTTTAATCACTATCAGATATTATACTTGACCCAACTATGCCATGTTCCCACTGTTCTGGGTTTTGTTTTTCATTTTCTTGGACTTGAATATCTTGTTTTACACAAGTTTTACATGATACATATATAAATGTATATTGTCATACTTTGTATTTTAATTTTATGAAGTAATAATTGATCACTATTATTTAAATTTAGTTGTATGATGAAATTAACTTCCTATTTATATATTAGGATAAATATAAATTTAAGAAAAAATATTTAATGTTTTAATTTTTTCAAATTAGTATTACTTTAATTTTTTTTCATATTGTTCAGTTATTTTCAAATTTTTTTTATCAAAATGAGTTATAATAAAAATTCAGCACAGTGAGGACACAGCATTATTTGAACATGTATAGATGGTGTGTCTTACAGTGATTAACATCACTATCATAAAAAATACTAATTACACAAGATACTTTTTAAAATTAGGCTTTATGAATACTACAACCAAAGTGATACTAATAAATAATTAATAGACATTTTTTATTGAAACTATTGCTTCAGAAATCATTTTCTCCTTAGTGAAAGATGTTTCTATTTGTAATTATTCAAGTAATTGTTTTACTTAGATTGTCATTTCCTCATAGTAGAACAATTGTCAAAGGAAATTTTTCATTATCATTGTAGTTTACATAAAAAGCTTTTCAAATTTTCAGTGTTAATAGGTTCAACTAGATTATATTTAGGTACTTTTGATATATAAATTAACAAAAAATTATTCCATTAAATAATATGAATTACCTCTTAAATAAAAGTTGGTATATAAGGCAAATTAAATTGAGTTAACATAACTCCTAAAATAAAATTGATACAAAATCAATTTTGATTAGACAGCTAATTTTAGCTTCTTGCAGTAAATATTTAGTAAAATATTAACAAAAATAATTTATTTGTTTTTACTAGGTGATATAAAAAGCAATAATTCTTTCAATATTGAATCTCCATCTGTAGTTTTAGCTCATAATAAATCTGGGAAATTTGAGAGTCGCTTTAGTACTGTCAAAATCAATCCTTCCAATTCTTTAATGTTCAAAAATATGGAAGAAAGTATCCTTGGTGTTTGGGTTGCTCATGCTGAAGGTAATTATTATTTTAAAAAACATGGGCAAATAATTTATTTTCTTATCAGAAAAGTTTATACCAATAATAATAATTATTATTTTTTAGGACGGTTTGAATTTAAAAATGAGAATGTTAAAAGGTCCTTAATAAAAAATAATTGTATTCCTTTAAAATATGTTGATGATCAAAAATTACCAACTGAAAATTATCCAATGAATCCTAATGGAACATCTGGTAATTTTATTTCAAGTATTGCTTATCCTCAAAATAATAGCAACATTACTTAAAAACAAAACATTTTACAGAAAAAGCATTTTTTTATAACACTCTAAAAACTATTAAAGCTAGTTTTTAAACTTAGCTTATACATTAAACTAAGTTTTACTTTATTATCTATTAAACTATGTGTCTAACATGTGTGAAAAAAAAAATCAGAAAAATGAAAAATGTTGAGTTTTGTTATTGCCCATTATATATATATATATATATATAATTAATATAATCTATAAGACATCAAAAAACTAATATTATCATTTTTTTAAATACTAACCATAATTTTTCTTTTGATTTTTTAATTTGCTCTAAATAAATTTAGAATAATCTAGTGTCATCACTTATAGAGGGTGTTTCACTATGTTCTGATATCTTTAATAACTATATAGCATGGGCGGAATGCACATACTCCTATAATAGCTGTACCCACCATTGCTACATTACCACTCTATGTATTAAAATATTTGTAAATTAATAAGTATTTATCCTTATATTATTATAGATAAATCAAAATTTTTTATAGAAAAGACCTATTTTAAAATTCTGAAAAAATTGTTCTTTTTATTATTAAAAATTAATAAAAAAATATGCTTTTAATATAGTTCAAAACTCTAAAAATTATTTATAAAAAAAGTAATACAAAATATTCTCTATATTACAAGTTATTAAAGATTTCAGAACTTAGGATATAGTCTTTTAGATAATACTTTTTGATTATGATAAATTATGTGATGCATACAATTTTATTATTGAGGAGTAAAATAGTTTTTGTCAAGATTGAAAAAATACACTTAACGAATTATAGAATTATTATTATTGCTTTACAAAAGTTACTTTATAATATAAAAATATTTAAATATTATTTTAAAATTTTAAATTTATCTGAAAATAATTTTTTAGAACTTGAAAAACAATATAATCATTTACAAATATTCAAGTATAAATATTAACTCTGAGTACATCTAAATGAAAATTTATATCCATGTGAAAAAATAAATATTTCACTTGTTTCAAAATATTGCTCAATAAATGTTCTAACGCATTCTTTAGTAGAGCATCTTTACTCGACTGTCTTTTATAAAATTTTAGGAGATTTAAGTTGAATGCAACCTAAATAATTTGAGTTATAATTTCATTTATAAAGAGATAATTTTAATTTATCAAAAAATACTTATGGAGACATATATAAATAAATATGTGTAAAGCAAATAGTAAATAATTAAAGGTTCAGTGCAATAACTAAGTCAGTTCACTATAGTTAGTTTTCAAAAGAAGCCATTTTCTAAAAAAATTATCATTAAGAGCAATGGTAAAGTTTTTTTTAATATTTCCAAAAATAATAGAAACATAAGTGATTGTTTAATTACAATTTTCAAACAAAAATTTATTCCTGTCTCTTTTATCCCCCTTAAAATTTTATCACTTTAATTTTTTTTTAATAGAATCTTATATTTAGCCAAATTGAAAACTAGAAAATGACCTATTTAAGAAAATTACTGGTCAATAATAACTTTTGGTCTAGTATTTTGAAAGTTATTAACTCTTTAATTTAAATACTGAAGGTGAAGCATGGTTCTTTTCATTTTTATCTCAAAGCATTAAATAATTGTACAATTTCTCCCTATTTGTTATAAAAATGATAATATCTTTTGAAATACTAGTCCAAAAATTGTTATTAACCAGTCACATTTTCTTAGATTTTTTTGTTTGTAAGTTAGTTAAATATATATTTTGTCATTTGAAAACTTAAAATGATAAAATTTTAATGGAAAAGAGATGTATAGAATCAAATTGTTGTCTAAAAATTGTAAATATTGCGATACCATTAACTTCTAAAAAGGAAAAATTATATTTACATTATTAAAGATATTATGTGAGTTATAGTTAAACAATAACTCTGTATAGAACTTGTATAAAAATGCAAAAAAACATTAAAAATTTTATACTTTAACTATATAACATATGAATCTAATTTCATACTTAATGAGCTATACAAAGAATAATAAGAAAAGAATATGCAGATGCTACAAATTTCTAACCATAATAATAGTCAATTATTTTATTATTCTAAAAATGATCTGTTTTGGCTTTAGAAAATATACTATGGTAAATATTTTAATAACTTTTTGTTTTGGTCAAAGAGATAAATTATTACAAATATTATAGCAAACATTGTAGAAAATTTCTAAATCCTGCTCATTAGTTGGATATAAAATTAACATATATGTGTTTATTTGTATTATATTATTATTTGCATTCTTTAATTTATAAATATTAATCTTATTTCAGATGGTATAGCTAGTATATGTTCCAAGGACGGAAGACACTTAGCTATCATGCCTCACCCAGAAAGAAGTATTTTTAAGTGGCAATGGCCATATACATATGGCTTAGATTGTTCAAAAAAAGATAACTTTGCTCCATGGATGCAAATGTTTTTCAATGCTTATAACTGGTGTTTAAAAAATTGAATGATATGTAGTCATTTCTGCTTAAAATTTATTTATTAAATTTGAATTAATAAATAAATTTGAATTTTTACTTAAAATAATTATGAGAACCAATAAAAATGAGGTTTTGTTAAATTTTTTAATGTTATGTTTAAATAAAATTCAGACAAAAAGAATTATACTTTTATGTTATAACATTTTTCATTTTTTAATTAAAATCCCATGGAATCAAAACATAGTACAGAAAGTTTTTGATTATGCAGCATCAAGCAAAAAAATAATATTTTTAAAATTCTTATGCAATTATCTATTTAATGGTAATAAAGTCAAATTGGGACTTAAACCAAAAAAAGTTATAATGAAAAGTTAAGTGTAATTTTTTAAAAAATGTCTAAAAAAATCTTCTGAAGAAATAATAAATGCTATACTCAAGTTTGATTGTTCAAAAAACAGGTTAAATTTATTTCAATAGTCTCAAAATTTTCACAATTCTTTTATGTCGTAATTAAAACATATTAGGAATTTCAAAATGAAAAAATTTGTTTTATATTTTTATGAAATTTTAAGTATATAATAATATTTAATTAGTAATTAGTAATTATCTCAGAATCTAAATTTGATAGGATTAATTTGGAATCAGCAGCAAAATTCCATTTAGGATTCGTATAAATAATGTAAACTGTAGACATTTTTTTCTTGTCTCTAGTTCAGATTCAGGAGGTATATAACACTTAAACCTCCTGAATCTGAACTAGAGGCACTCAATCCTAATCCAGCTCTATTTTCTTAAAATCAATTTTTCTATTAGATGATTCCTTCTTACTTATTGTTTTTCTTGATGTCTTAAATTATTGTTTAATTCCGCTCACATGGTGACGGGGGATAAAAGATTTTGCGATAAGAATAAATTTATCATTAATATATATTAGGAGGAACTAGAAAAAATGTATTATACATATCCCCCGACAACAACCCTGAGAACACCACAGCTTCATACACCAAAAATATCTTGGTTTTAAGTACTTAGTTAATCTATATTAACATAAAAGTCTTATCCGAATTTTAATATTATTAATAGAATACTTATTGAAATATCACAATTTAGTGACTAACAAAATATCCACAGGCGCAACTGGAAAATGCTTAACCTCTGGTTAATAAATTAAAAAAAAAACCCAGCACAGGGGGGTAGCGGCACAGTGGTGACGTGCTTAGTTGGATCAAGTATGATATCTGACAGTAATTAAAATCACTATCAAAAAAAACGCTTCGATGCAAATCCTTAGATAGAGAAACATTCATTCTCTGCTCTACTTTCTTATCAACCGCACAACAATCTGAACCATACATCATAGCTGGCCTTATTACAGTCTTATAGAATTTACCTTTCAGCCTCATTGGAATTCTTTTATCGCATAAGACAACAGATGCTTCTCTTCACATCAACCACCCGCACTTAATACTGTGTCATACATCCTCATCAATACCATCGCTCTTTTACACACTAATCTTAAATACTTGAAACTTTCCTCCTCTCCAAACACGTCCTGGACTATTGTCACTGATCTCCATATTTCACCTACCTAGTGTTCTCCTTTATCAAACTCGTACTCTATACAGAGTGATTATTTTATCATAACCCACTCAATTACTTGCAGAATAATAATAATTTAAACATTTTTTTTTATTATTATCTTTAGTTACACATTATTCTTGAATTATTAACTATGTAATACTTTTTAAGTTCATCCCTTATGCCTGGTAAGGGTGTCAACTTTGTTTTTTTAAATGGTAACACATATTTTTAATTTAATAAAATGTTTGAGTTTTTAATTCAATAGTAAATGGCATTTGAATTTTTAATAAAACTTAATTTGTTTATTAGATATAAACATTTAAAGTTTCAAATTTTTGAGTTAATATATAGGTATAATACACAAGGGATTACAAATACAGGTAGCTAATTGATTTTTTATGACATCGATATTAGCAGGTACACAGCATTGTTATTATCAATGATAGTAAGGTACATTGTTGTGAGTTTATAAATACACTAACTGACAATATAAAAAGTATATCTATTGATAGTCATAATTGATAATAAACAATCTGTTACTGTGATAACAATATCATAAAAAACCAATTAGCTACCTGTATTTACAATCTCATGTGTATTACACATGTATATTAACTCAAAATTTTGAAACTTTAAATGTTTATATCTAATAAGCTAATAAAGTTATATTAAAAATTCAAATGCCATTTACTATTAAATTAAAAACTCAAACATTTTATTAAATTAAAAATATGTGTTACCATTTAAAAAAACAAAGTTGACCCCCCTCCAAGGCATAAGGGATGAACTTAAAAAGTATTACATAGTTAAAAATTCAAGAATAATGTGTAACTAAAGATAATAAAAAAAAAAAATGTTTAAATTATTATTATTCTGCAAGTAATTGAGTGGGTTATGATAAAAAAATCATCCTGTATACTCTGTTTTACTTCTACTTATTCTTAAACCCTTTTCTTCAAGAGCTGATCTCCACACCTCTAGCCTTTGATTAATTTCCTCCCTATTTTCTCCTATTAACACTAAATCGTCAGCAAACAACATGCACCTCTTCTTGTATTTCTCTAGTAATTTCATCCATCACTATAGAGAATAAGGGCTTAAATCAGAACCTTGATGCACTCCTACTCTTACCGAAAACCTTCTGTTACTCCTCCTACACTTTTTACTCTGGTACAAATGCTATCATACATATCTTCTATTATATTAATGTACCTTTTCAGGACTCCTTTTCTCATTAATGCTCACTTTAAAATGTCTCTCGGTACTTTATCATACGCTTTCTCCAAATCTATAAATACCATACACAGCTTTTTCTTCTTTTCACTAAATTTTTCTATTAGTTGCCTCACACAAAATACTGGATCCATTGTTGACTTACCAGGCATAAATTCAAACTGGTTTTTAGATACTAATGTCTCGTTTCTTATTCTCTTATCTATTACTTTTTCCCAAATTATCATACTATGACACATAAGTTTTATGTCGCTATAATTTCCACACTCCTGTATGTCACCTTTACCTTTAAATATCGACAACACAATACTATTCCTCCATTCATTTGAAATTTTCCCTTCTAATAAGATTTTATTTAAAAGTTCCTTCAACCACCTTATGCCAACACCGCCTAATATTTTCCATACTTCTACTGGCACTTCATCTGGTTCCACTGCTTTATTCTTTTTCTTATAGAACTTATCTTTCAGCCTCATTGGATTTCTTTAAATAAGTAAGAACCTAATGTAGAACCTTGGTGCACTCTTACTTACACTATAAAACCTTCTGTCACTCATTCTAAGCTTATTACCCTGGTACAAGTGCCATTATACTGATCGATAAGATATAAACATCTATTATTTAAAATTAAAAATATTAAAAATCCAACACAGGGAGGTCGCGGCACAGTGGTGACGTAGCATAGATGGATCAAGTATAATGATATCAGACAGTGATTAAAATCACTATAAAAAAAAAAACGCTTTAATGCAAATTTTTAGATAGTGTTTAATTTTAAAAAATTGGTGTATTATTCCAAAAGCTACATAATCTGCTAGTTCCTTATTAATATCCTGATTAATATAAAGAATGTTGAATGAAAAAGAGATTATAAAAAAATATTATTTTTCATAAAAAAATTGTGTTGATCCATACACTTTTCAATAAGTTATAGCATTATAAAGTTAAAAATGTAAAAAATAAAATCGATAATTTTCACACAAAAATAGCATTTGGTAGCCACTTTCACCATGAAGACAAAATAAAGTCCGAAATTTTTTTTTCATATAATAAAGTACATTACATTATCTTTAATTTAAGACATATATAAAAGTGTCAGACTCTCCGGAACACTTCCAAAAGTTAATTTTTTGTGAAAAAGTTGTCATTTTAAATCCCACCCTGTGGGCAGGTTAAGTGTAAGATTTACAAAAAAAATATACCAAATGATAGGTAAAGACATCAAGCATCTATAAAAAAAAAAATTTACTGATCCATATATTTTCCAAAAAGTTATAGCATTATTAAGTTAAAAATATAAAAAAAAATTATTTTACAAAAATCTTAATTTGTTATTAACTTTGATGTCTATTTTCACCACGAAGACAAGTCCAGAGGTCAAATTTTTTTTTTCCATAATAAAGTACATTACATTAACTTTAATTTAAGACATATATAAAAGTGTCAGACTCTCCGGAACACTTCCAAAAGTTAAGTCGAAAAAGTTCTACTTTCTCTATGCATTTTTGTTTTGAACCCCCCCTGTATTAAGGGATATGGTCCGATTTATAAAACAAGTATGTCGAATTAAAGAGGTATATAAATATTATTTCTCATCAAAAAATTGTATTCATCCATACACTTTTCAATAAGTTATAGCATTATAAAGTTAAAAATGTAAAAAATAAAATCGAGAATTTTCACACAAAAATAGCATTTGGTAACCACTTTCACCATGAAGACAAAATAAAGTCAGAAATTTTTTTTTTTTTCCATAATAAAGTATATTATATTAGTTTTAATTTAAGATATATATAAAAGTGTCAGACCGAAACACTTTCAAAAGTTAAGTTGAAAAAATTAATTTTTTTTGAAAAAGTTATCATTTTCAATCCCCCCTTTGGACAGGTAAAGGGACAGATTTATAAAAAAAATACATTAAAACTTTAAAAAAAGTTATGGCAGTTTTTAGTAGAAAAAATTTCAAAAACCAGCGATTTTTAAATTTGTAATTTTTTTGGAGGTTTCCCCCATTTACGAGGAACGAGGCAATTTTTTTCAATTTTAGAGGGTAATGTCTTTGACTAGATACGATTTATGTTCTTCTGACGTATCATTGAAAGAAATCGGTTCGGTGAGAGCTGAGAAAAAGTGGTAACAGACACACAAAAAAAAAAAAAAACCCATCATAGTAAAATTAATACCTTCTTAGCTTCGCATCGAAGCTAAAATTAACATGTCCAAACTGATATCATATCTTACAAAAAACTTTGCACGTGGACGTTTCTGGACAGNTTTTTATAAACTTTGTTTTATACAACTTGTTTCGACAATTACAATATATTTTACTTAAGAACTAAACATAATAATTCAATATATATGTTGTTATACAATTAGCACCCTCAAGAAATTTTTTCTAGTTGCGTCTATAAAATAATTAGTAAATTAATAATTCTTTTATATAATTATCGAATGTATGTTAATTGTTTATTATTGACATACATGAAAATAGGGTCACAGATTACACATACCTTTTTTGTTCCACACAAATTTTAAGTTGTAGTTAACATATAAAATGATAAATAAAGTGCAGATTACAATCGTGCCCGATATAAAATGGCCATAATTATCATCACATAGTCTAGGCATTTGTCGAGGCCTTATAGTTTAGATGACCTCGTAAAAAAAAATGCTAAGCAAAAAAAAATTAAATAACTAGTTAATAAATTTTCATCACCAAATTTAATAATTTATAGTCATATGATGATTATTTAAAGCTTATGTAATATACTTTATTATGGAAAAAAAAATGTTGGACTTTATTTTGTTCTCACGGTGAAAATGGCTACTGAATGCTATTTCTGTGTTAAAATTCTCGATATTATATATTACATTTTTAACTTTAAAATGCTATAACTTTTTGAAAAATGTATGGATTAATACAATTTTTCAATGAGAAGTAGTATTTATATACATCTTTCATTCGACATACTTTTTTTTTAAATCAGACTATTTCCTTATATACGGGGGGTGCTCAAATCTGAAAAATGCATATAGAAAGTAGAACTTTTTCAACTTAACTTTTGAAAGTGTTCCGGAAGGTCTGACATTTTTATATATATATTAAATTAAAGTTAATGTAATGTACTTTATTATGGAAAAAAAAAAATTTGACCTCTGGACTTGTCTTCGTTCATTCTTATTCATTCATATATTATACTTCGTAATCAGAATATAAATAATGAAATAGAAGATCCTATAGCTTTTGGAATAATCCATTTTATATTAGATAATTATTTATTTTATTAGCTAGTTAAAATCACAATACAAAATATTGAATATCATTTTCATACTAAATTTCATTTTTATAGTATGTATTTATTCATTTATTGTAATTATAAATCATAAAACTTGTAATCAGAATGTAAATAAGAAAATTGAGTTGATGTTGCTTTTGGAATAATTCCTCCTAAAAATTAAACACTATCTACAGTATTGCATCGAAGCGTTTTTTATGATAGTGATTTTAATCACTGTCAGATATCATCTATGCTGGACCCAACTATGCCACGACCCCACTGTGCTGGATTTTTTTAACACGCTTATATTAGTTTCACCTGTATGTATGCATGTATGTATGTATGTATGTTTGTAACTCTCCAAACGCCATGCGTTATCGCATATTCCGTCGTCTAGACTAGACTGTCATAACGCATTCACCCCTCCCCACGCCACGCTCACCAAAAGACGGCACACTATTCCTATAAAAATTTATTTTTAGTTATCGTACCCGTACACGCGTGCTTGTCATCAATATTATATATATATAAACAAATTTTTATTTTGACTGACCAATACCGCCCGCGTCTAATGCGCCTTACGTATATATATTTATATATTCTTACCACCGTTTATACCTAAGGTATAACGTTAGTCCGACCCGCCCGCCTACAAAATACGGTTATACCTAGTGCATGATACGTTTACGTACGTAAGTCGCTTTACTTATAAATATAATCTAATTACTATTAAAATGTATATATTAACACGCTTTATTCTAATTAAGAGATATAAAGTATTCATTCCGATTACGAGGGATGATTCCCGTATCGTCATTTTTCGTCACTACCTCCATGTTCCGGGAGTGGGTAATTTACACGCCTGCTGCTTTCCTTGGATGTGGTAGCCGTTTCTCAGACTCCCTCTCCGGAATCGAACCCTCATTTCTCGTTACCCGTTACAAACATACATACATACATACAGGTGAAACTAATATAAACGTGTTAAAAAAATATAGTTTAAAAAAACTAAAAAAACACGCTTTTAAAGCACATCGAACTAAAAAGTTAAAAATAATTTTTAAAATAAGCTTAAAACAATAATGAACGAAAAATACTAGTATTATTGTAATAAAAGCGTGGGTGCTTTGTGCCATATTTTTCGTATATTGAGCGCCCGACGCTTCTATCACAATAATACTAGTATTTTTCGTTCATTATTGTTTTAAGCTTATTTTAAAAATTATTTTTAACTTTTTAGTTCGATGTGCTTTAAAAGCGTGTTTTTTTAGTTTTTTTAAACTATATTTATTTTACACGTTTATATTAGTTTCACCTGTATGTATGTATGTATGTATGTATGTATGTTTGTAACTCTCCAAACGCCACGCGTTATCGCATATTCCGTCGTCTAGACTAGATTGTCATAACGCATTCATCCCACCCCACGCCTAGCTCATTACACGCCGGCAATACTATTCCTGTATAAATTTATTTTTGGTTATTGTACCCGTACGCGCGTGCTTGTCATCAATATTATATATATATATAAACAAATTTTTACTTAGACTGACCATTATCATCCGCGTGCATACGGCTTACGTATATATTCCTACCGCCGTTTATACCTCAGGTTTAACGTTAGTCCGACCCGCCCGCCCACAAAACACGGCTATACCTAATGCATGATACGTTTATGTACTTAAGTCGCTTTACATGTATATATATATATATATTCTAATTACTATTAAAAATTATATATTAACACACTTTATTCTTATTTAAACATATAGAACTCATTCATTCCGATTACAAAGGATGATTTCGGAATCGTCATTTTTCGTCATTACCTCCATGTTCCGGGAGTGGGTAATTTACACGCCTGCTGCTTTCCTTGGATGTGGGAGCCGTTTCTCAGACTCCCTCCCCGGAATCGAACCCTGATTTACCGTTACCCGTCACAACCATGATATTGATAGTAACTACTATCATAACATGTAACTAAAAAGTGAAAAATAAATATAGTTTAAAAAAACTAAAAAACACGCTTTTAAAGAACATCGNAAATATAGTTTAAAAAAACTAAAACACACGCTTTTAAAGCACATCGAACTAAAAAGTTAAAAATAATTTTTATAATAAGCTTAAAACAATAATGTACGAAAAGTACTAGTATTATTGTGATAAAAGCGTGGGTGTTTTGTGCCATATTTTTCGTATATTGAGCGCCCGACGCTTTTATCACAATAATACTAATATTTTTCGTTCATTATTGTTTTAAGCTTATTTTTAAAATTATTTTGAACGTTTTAGTGTTCGATGTGATTTAAAAGCGTGTTTTTTTAGTTTTTTTTAACTATATTTTTATTATTATTAATGTGAAAATATAAGTAACACATATTTGAATATACTAATAAAATATAATGTTAGTAATAATTAATTGTGTGTTTTATTAAATATTTAAATCATACATATAAATAAAATTAACACAGTTATTATGTATAGTAATGCAAATATGAGAAAAATTTAGCACATGAAAATTAATTTAAAGGTACTTATTAAAAGGTTCCATACCCTTAGGATATTCTATTAGTTCGACTGAATCATCTTTCAATTCACAATTGACATCTAAATAAAAATAAATGATTAAAAAACATAGTTTAAAAACTAAAAAACACGCTTTTAAAGCACATCGAACTAAAAAGTTTAAAATAATTAAAAAAAAACCCATCACAGTTGGATAAAAGCGTTGGTGTTTTGTGTCATATTTTTTGTATATTAAGCGCCCGACGCTTTTATGACAATAATACTAGTACTTTTCGTACATTATTGTTTTAAGCTTATTATAAAAATTATTTCTAACTTTTTAGTTCGATGTGCTTTAAAAGCGTGTGTTTTAGTTTTTTTAAACTATATTTTTTGTTTTAAGTTACTGCTACGTCATAAAGTGCAATATGGCTGACATCAATTTGTGCGCATAAATGATAATTCTGATAAACCTTTATTTTTTTTTCCATAACGTGCTGCATCCCTAATGATAATTCTGATTCTTTACACGTTAATACACAGTTATTGTGATCGTTGTCATTTAACTGGATGTTTTGTCTATGAATTTTTAAGCTATCATGATATTTATGGTTATAATGCAGTAAATTTTAATTAATATTCCAATATTTTAATGAAAACTTGAGAAATGGACATTGCTAGTTTAATTAATTCAATTTTAGCTGATGATGGCTATAATGCTCTTTCTGAAGATACAAAGAGTAAATTTGAACAATATTTGCATAAAGCGTCACCTGTAACTCGTAACGAAATCGGTATTAACACAACTGATGGTAAGGGTTAATAATGAATAGTTAAAATTAAAAATGTATTGATATTATAATTCTACTTAAAGTTATTAATTAGTAGTATATTTATATTAGTGAAATTGTTTCCAAAATGTTTCAGTTATAGCCAATCAAGAAATTGATTTCGATTCTCTCAATAATAGTACAACTATAAGAGAAACCAAATTCCGGGAACTACAGAAAGAAGTTGAAATAATTAATAATCAATTCAAAAATGCATTGACACAAAAACATGAGCTCATGTTAAACAATGAATCTTTATTTAAAAGTTTACGTGAAGCTGAAACTAGGTATATTTTTATAATAATATTACTTAATAATAATCAGCTTTCTTATTTATTGAATTATAGCTTATTTCATGATTTCAAATTTTATAAAATCTTTAAAGGTAAACATATATTTTGATTGAAATTTAATAAATTTTATTTTATATTTGATAGGGAAAGGATGACTAAAATGGATGATGGTATATTGCAACTTAAAATAAATACATTAAGTGAAAATTTAATGAAGTGTACACAAAGTTTATCAGATCTTGAGTCTAAGTACTATAAAGACATAATGGAGTTAAAACCAGAATTAGATCAAAAAGATGCTGATGTGAGATTATATTATATTTAAAATATTAAGAAGAAAAAAAATTTTTGAATATTTTTATTCAGTTAATGTTATCATATTAGATTTACTTTGTTTACTAGTATCCAAAATACGTTAAATATAATAAAATGCAAAACATATATTTTACAGATTTTAAAACAGAAAAATGAACTTCATTTATTACAAATTAAGTGCAATAATCAAAATGATATAATTACTATTCTAAAACAAGAACTTGATGATTTAAATCAAAATCATATAAATGAAATTGATAAAATAAAAAAGGAGTTGCATTCTAGTCAAAGTTTAATGAACCACTATAAAGGTAATTTTGAACATTTATTTAAACTACAAGTATTTTATTAATTACAAAATATCTATATTTTCAGAATGTTATGAAAATGAATTGCAACAAACTAAAAAACTAACAACTGATACAGTTAAAACTAAGGATTATGTAAATACATTGACAGCTTCATTGGATGAATTTGAATTGAAATATTCTAAACTTCTAGATGAGTATGAACAGTATAAGTTTGATACTAAAAGTACTACAAATGCACTTATTAATAAATTAGATGCTGCAGAAGATATTGTTAAACAGTTACTTCCAGGTATTTAAAGATATATTGAAAATATAAGTGTACGAGTTATATTCAGTTAAAATAAAAGTATTTGTCAAAGTAAACAATATTGCTAATCAAATATTACATATATTATACCTCTAATAATAAGATAAAGTTTGAGAATAAAAATATTTTATGATTTTTTTTAATAGTTGTAGATGAGTTTGATGTTATGGTTATCTTATTTAACTTCATAGGTGGAAAATACATTATAAAGTGAATTATATAAATATAACCTATATTATTTCAAATGTTTTTTTAGCTTCGATGCGAATTGGTTTTACTAAGATGTGTTTTTTTTTTTTTTTTTTTTTTTTTTTTTTTTTTTTTTTTTTTTTTTTT